CGAAAGTCGACAGTGATGGAAAAACGTGACAGGTCCCATCCTCCCGCGGTCGCAGCTACAACGTTACGAATGATCCTCTCTGCGGACGCTACGGTTGTTGGCACATACGAATATGCGCTCGCGTTGGCCAAATGTTGGGTCGACAGTTGGGTCGACTGATCGATATCTATTTTTGGTCCTGAACGAAAAGACACGAGCGCGAGCCAGCAGGTATTTAACGTTATGCGGCTGTGGAACGCTGAAATAAACGGTACGAGAAAAAATTGCGACAAGACACAAAATACAGAAAAATGTTTCATTTTTTTAACAGGTCGCATTATGTTAAATCAAAGGAAAGTGAAGGATACAATTTGATATTCATGATATTTTTTTAATAATATTCTTTATGCATAATAAATGCCTTTAAACGTCATTGTATTTATTAATGCCAGATTTCTTAACAGATTTAATTTATTTTGTTTCAAAGTCAAGTACTTTGGAAGCGTAATCCAATCAATCTTACTCGAGAAACAACGTATCGATTAAAGTATTCCTTTGGAATATATAATATAAATTCGATATCCTCATTATCTTTTTTAATATAAGATATAATAACTGTTACTTTGATACTCTAAGAGAAAAAGCATAGAAAAGGAAAACTAGCTTCTTTACTTATTAATTCGTTCGCTGACTATCCTGTCGATCAGGATACAATAGCCACGCGACGTGCTTGGTAATGTCATCAAATGACATTGCGCAAGTGACGTAACCGTCGCGATCCGACGTCAAAAGCAGGCTTTAATTTAACATTTGATCGTTTCTCGCTAGCGAAGGAAGTGGCGTCATGGGAAAAATGTTGTATGATATTAATTCCAATAAATTTCTAAAACTATAATATTTACAATTGTAATTTTCTCATCGATACATTGAATATAAGCTGTTTATATTAAATTACGTAATTTATTATCAGATAGATTATCTTTCTAGCATAAAACAAATATAATAAATTAAAATTAATAATAAAGTAAAATAAATGTAATCTATTAAAATTATTATTTATGTTACATTTACGTAACATTTTGTTGAATATTTCAAAAGTTTTAATACCCTACCATCATACGTATTAAAACATTTATAAAACAATAAAAATTGTACTGGTTATCTTGATTATTTATTTATTTAACTTAAATTTTGAAATTTCGTTGATAAAAGAAATAAAAGAAACAATTTTACGTTGAATAATTAAACAATAACAACGGATGATATATTAGTTACTATATTTCCTCGGCTTTAGAGTTGCTTGAGTTCTTGTTTGATATTGGAAACTTCAATAGAAGAAGCATAGAACAATAAGTGAATGAAAAATTCACTAGCCTATACTTTATGATTCAAAGTTTAAAAAATTCTCTCTTCTCGTTAGTAATATTTAATGGCAATCACATTACCTGTATGTCAATATATGATTGCAGTTTATTATATCAAATTACCAATAATTATACCAATAATTATATAATTATATTTAATACAAGTTAAGTTTATGTTAGAAGAAAAATTGCAAATTTTTTACATTTTTTTACTAAGTTTTCAGCTAGCTTTTTTTAAAGTGAGTAAGTTAATCCCATTAAGGATTTTCTCCTAGTAATGTATTTTTATATAATACAATCTCAGAAGGCTTCGATAAAAATAAAAGAAAATGTGAGGGAAACGAGAGAAGGTGTTGAATTTGTAAAAATAACTAGTGCGTTTTTTAAATATTAAAAATAAGCTACATAGAACATGGAATTTTTGATATTGGATACGCGTGTCAAATAAACGCGTGTTCGCTTCTCCTCGCAACCGACATTAAGGTACCTTTGACCTTATATATGATTAACATTGATCGATTTACGCAGGACTCGAGAAAGTCTAGCACGAACTCGTTACGCAGCCTCGGTCACTCGACTTTTGACCTCTCGTATTTCCTTTCGAAGCTGATTCTCAATCCCCTTATTCGCAACTACCTGGCTACCTTGAATTTGCCGTGTGTATTCTTATGACACGAAAAAAAGAGTAAAATAATCTTCAATTTGATTGGCATAGACTTTGTCAAATTTTTTAAATATATATTATATAATATGAAAAAGAAAGGATCACTTTTAATCACATTAAAATTAACTTTGCATTATACTTCCACATCGAAAAAGGTATTTTAATCTATCTTTTACTTTGCTTTCCGTTTTGTATCGATAGGAAAAAGGAAGAAAGGGATAAAAAATTTTAATGCAGTATCAAATAATGTATATATGTAATATCAATAATCAATCCAATGTTATCGTACATTATTAATTAATTTTTACTTGTGGTACGACCAGCAATGATCTTAGGCATATTTCGAAAATTATAACGTCACTGAAAGCAAAACGATCGTGAACAAAATCCAATATTAATCGAACAGGCTCGATATGCAAACGCGAATCTTGATTAACGCATAGCAGCGTCTAAGTTACATTTACAAATGTCGTCCTAGCCGAGCGCGATTATGGCGAACGCGTGGCTAATCCTCGCTAAGTACCGGTAAACGATCGTAATCCTCCAAGAGCCTCCAGAGCCTCTAGTAAACGAAGACGGAAGAGAGCACGATGGCAATGTCTCTTGGAAAACTGAAGCGCGCTATACTCACGACGGAGCCGCCACTCGGGACAGGGTCTCGCAACCTTCCACCTCGCTCTATCCTCGCGCGACCAGGTGGTTGGTAAGCACGCGATCCGCTGGTTGAAGAGCACTGGTCCCAGAAGGGAGGAGAAGAAACGAGCGGGGCCGTTCGAGAACCCCTTCGGAACGGGTGGCAGCCCACATAGTCGCCTCGCACAGGTGAGGCCGATATCGACCTGACGCCAGAAATACCGGGCAGCATCGACCGTTGTCGTCGTCGTCGTTATACCTGGTCTCCCCCGCCTGCCACCCTCACCCGCCGCCGTCGTCACCCCCGGAGGATGCCGGCGCCCGCGTACAGTCAATGGTGGAGGGTTTGGGGGCTGACGCACGGCCTCGCCGCCGCCAATCCCTGGACCCTGGTGGTCGCGGCTGCGCCCTGTCGTGTTTTCCGCAACGGAACCGCCGCCGACGCCGACGTCGCTGCCGCTACCGCGACGGCAAGAGAGGGCGCCGTGGCGACCCGGTGGCGGGGAGGACTACGAGGGCAGACGTTCTAAAGCCACCCCGACGGAGAGACACGCCGAGACGCCCCTGCCATTGGGAGCCCTTCGGTCTTAGTAAGTATCCGATCTCTCGTTCCTCGCTCTGTATTCTCGCATCATTTCTTTCTCTCGCTTGCTCATCTCGCTCTCTCATCTTCCTCCTCGTATGTTCAAAGGTGCACGCGTTCGTGGAATTTCCTATGAATCTTCTTGATCCTGGCGCGCGGCTTTCGGGCTCGTTTCGCAGGAATCGGTAGTTTCCAATACGATTCGAGAGAGAGAGAGAGAGAGAGAGAGAGAGAGAGAGAGAGAGAGGGAGAGAGAGAATTAGAATCTCGTGTAATTTATAAATGTTCTCTTTCCCTCTTTTCGATGTTTGTTGAATGATGAAAAATTATTCCTGTGTTAAACCTGAATTTTTAAAAATTTATGTTGATGCGACGGTAATCCTTGAGATATGTAATGCTTCCGGTATAAATGTTCTTTCGATAATTTCGTGCATATATTGAAATTTCTTGATTCATAAGATTCAATCGAATTCTCGAGGGATTAATAAAATTCACGCTTCTGCACAATTTTTCTTCACGCTTTTTTCTAACTTGCTTTGTCTGAATAACATGTGAGCTAGCTAAAGGGGAGTTAAAAAAAATATATATATTATATATATATATATATATATATATATATATATATATACTTGCACAAATCATATCACATTATAATATTAATTTTCTATTGTTCTGCAATTGCATCAATTTTTCTCTGCATCAATCTTGTTTTTTTAGATAAATTTGTTATCTTAAAAATAATTAATATATCTATCTTTCACTTTAGATTTATATTTATTATTAGTTTGTGGCGCAACAATTGCTTTATTTGCAATACAATATTTTAAATTAAATTTAATCGTTAAATCACGAAATAAAGATTTTTACTCTACTTATTATAAGATATAATTGCATTCTGACAAAAAATATAATAAAAATGACAGGATTGAGAATTAGAATTTAAAAAATAGCATAGATTTTTTTCATATGAATTTAAATTCTCCGCCGAGAATGGTGTTTGTTGTGTAACGCGTGATCAAATTGACACTAAGGAAATCCTAGAGTTTGAAATTTGCGATTACAAGAACGACACGGATAATAAGGGACATTACTGAACCCCTCCTGCAAACAACGACGTACGAAATAACACGTGGCTGTCAAATAACTATATTGCGATGCGACGATGCGGGGGAGTAAAAATTACCTTGGGAAGTTACGCACGTGTGTAATGCCCGGTCTTCCTCAAATGTGCACAGTATAAGAGAGCCGGATGTTATAGATAGATGCAGAAACGGTAAATTTAACCTGCCCATTGGTATAACGCGTACATAAGATAATAGAAAGGTTAGTAAAAATTGTGTCGAACGTATATATATACACGATAGGACATGAATATGTAGAGTAAAAGCGATGTTGCCTCACGCGCGATTGCGCGGGTTAAAAATATGATGATGATGATGAATTTCAACTCGAAGGTTGACGGACTCTCCCTTTGTTTCATTCTTAAACCAGGTTCCTCTACAAAAGCGAGAGGGCATAAACATATACACTTTTATAAGTGTAAATCTGTTATTACATAATTTGCATATAAAACCTGTTGTTGCTCTAGTAGAGACAATGCTACTTTTGCGTTAGACTTATGTTCTTGCAAACACACATTTTCTCTCGAAAGTATGCACTTGTGCATGTGCATTTTTTTTCTGAAAATGACAAATTTTTATTGCTACTAATCGTTCATAAATTAATCTAATAAGCAGAGATGCTATCGCTGTTGCAGGCTCGGTTGTGAACTCGGCTGAAAAGGTGGAGGGCCCGGGGACGCGGGGAGCCAAGGAGTCGGTGAACGACTCGAAGGACGAAGACGGATCGGACGTCGCCTCGACTCTGAGCGGCTTGCTCGCCGGTCTTCCGACCTTGGCGGGCCCCCAACGCCTTGCCAATTCCCTCAGGCAGAAGTTCGCCAGTAACTCCGGTGAGTCGATGAATCGTTTTTGCGTAAGGCGTATGTCGTCGGGGAGGCTCGCGTTCCAAGTCCGCCTATCGATCACATTCGGGACGACGAGGACCACGACGACGATCGACAGGCGTCGTTTCGCGAACGCGAGAACCATCGTCTCGAAATCGATCGACCCCTATAATTCTGTGCCTTAAATGTTAAATATTGTAGCACAGGCTACGAGTACCAGCTAAATCTAAATCGCACTTTTTTTGTTTTACATTCACGAAAGGTTCCGATGAATTAGGATAATAACGGAGTATGTGAATAATGGAGTCGGAGCACGCAGCAAATCAAATTAGATATTTAATCCAGATTGCGGCGAATTGTCGCGTTCCTGAAAAAAAGTTGCTAAGTGTACTTTATATTAATTGCACTTACCAATTTTTCCCGTTTTTCGGCTTGTAAGAGAGATGTGGCTCTAGTTTCTACTGCCCTCAACCCTTTCGGACACCCATTGTTTTACTGTACTCTTAAAGTATAATTATCGTATTTTCGTGCTCTTGCACTGGTCTCTCAGTTAATTTAAAAGGAAAAACGGAGAAAGTAACAGAAAGGATTTAAAAACATTCATGAATCGTATTTTTAAAAAAACTGCCTATTTTAATGCAATTTTTTTATATAAAGTATTTTAATAATTTTAGTAACTTTTAAAAACTAACTTTTTTTATTTTTGGTAACTGACAGTAGTAGATTATGAAAATTTAAATGATTAAATTTTAGACAGTAGAAAATTTTAGACAGTTATATGGACATTTAAATAATTAAAGTTTCATAATTACACAATAGTGTTATGAAGTCTTCTTTCGCTTAAAAATAATATGAAGATATAAATAATGCATTTGACGTTTGATCGAAAATTTAGAGCTCGCATTAAGGATACTATTTGTACATTTTTGTTGGTAGAATTTGTTGAGAAAGATTGTTGAGAAAAGAAACTGATGCATTGTAAGGTTCCCCTTTTTATTATCGATTCAAATTATGTTTTTGGCTTTGTATTTCAATTAGATTTTTCGCAATTATTTATTTGCAAGTTTATTTATTACTGGTTTCTTAATAAGATTTATTTGGATTAAATTGATTTCTCAATAAGATTTATTATTGATTTTATTAGATTCGTTATTGATTTCTCAATAAGACTTGGTTAAACCTTTAATATAAGTCTTATTAAGAAATTAATTATCATTAATTTCTTAATAAGGCTTATATTAAATAATTATTGATTAAATTAATCGGTTTTCTTAATAAGATCTATTTCTGAATAACACTTATATTTTAGGTGTTTGTTGCTTAAGTTGTTGATTAGTTTCGTCATCGATTTCTTCTAATAAATTTCGACACGTTAATAATTTATTATGAATATCTCTGAGAAAATATTGTTTCCTTATTATCTTTTCTATTTTCTTTATTGTCTTTTCTCATGATTATTCATAGATATCAGGCGATGAATATTGACTGATTACATCAGGCACTCTCTTTGATCAATGATCTTATTTATCGCACGTTGCTGCAACCTCACAGAAGGAAAGATTCTTAGTGTCTCGTTAGTCTCGATTGAATGCATTTAAAAGCAACCGTGTACGCATCATTCACTCTTATCCGACGCTTCAAATCACTTTTATAAAATAACCGCGACATGCAAATCGGAAGGAAAGAAGGAGACGTAAGACATTTATTACTTTGATTAAGAATTATTATTATGATTATGAAAATTTAATTAACTCCTAAACTCTTTATTTCTAAACCGAAGGAGGCCCTCTAATATTGTTTATTGTTTATTTTATATTCATTTTATATAATTGGTCATTATTTTCAACTATGACAGTTCGATAAAACTATAACAATATTAATAATATCGAACAGCAATATCGCCATTAATACTCCTAATAACGCTAACATTCGTGAAGTGATTAGCGACCCTGCCGACAAAGTCTAGCACGCGTCGACCCTCGCCCCTTGTTTTCTTGGCGCTTTCCCGCGCTGTTTTTATCTCCACCGTGTAACACGATACACGATATACCAGGCTCAGGTATATAGAGTCGATCTCGCGACGCCTTATCGTGGGGGAGCCTCCATCCGGTGTCGTGTTCTCTTTCAAACACGCGCGGGGAAGCAACCCGGATAGAGAGAAATAGTCTAGAGAGCGGGGGTGCATTTTCCTTGCTGCACAAAAGTGCTGCTTATCGTGATCGCGTGGTTGGGTCGGACGATAGATTCTGGGTGGTTTGGATGGACATCGTCGTTTCGCGCTGACCAGGCCGGGTCAGGGCTCCCCCCCCCATCTTCTTTTTCTTCTTCTTCTTTTTCTTCTTTTTCTTCAACTCTTCCCAATCCCGAGTCTCTTCTCCGACGCATTTTTTTCTGACGGTAATCTCTTGCTAATCCGTCGCGAAGCCTGTCGGTTGCCGTCGCGAAGAAGCGGTATTGCGTAAACAGCGTGTAAAAAGAAAAAAAAAAGAAAAACTCGCGCGAATCGGTTAATCGAACGCGAGAGCTAATCGCCAACTCGGTGATCTGTTGTAGGTTACCCCCGGCCCGGCCTGATGCGCGCCGCCCCTATCGCGACGATCTCCTCGTCACGTTCGCTTCCCGAGGTCGCACGACTGGTGACCGCGGTTAGTCTCACCCGTTAAGACACATACAAAAAAAGCGGAAGAGAAAACCGGTCGCTCCGCGAGCGGCCACTTAGAGAACATCATGACGACGATACCGATACTCAACATGGAATTCGGCGAACTTAAGGAGATCGTCTGGTCGAAGCTGCAGGAACCCAAGTCTCAGCGCAAGCTGATTCTTGTCATCGTCTCCGTGGCGTTGCTGCTGGATAACATGCTGTACATGGTGATTGTGCCGATTATACCCGACTATCTGAAATATGTGGGCGCGTTTGGGCCAATCGAGGAGACGCCCAATTCCACCGATACGCCGAGTCATCCCGGTCAGGACTCCGCTACCGGGATGCTATTCGCATCGAAGGCGATCGTGCAGCTGATGGTCAATCCGTTCTCCGGGGCGTTGATCGACCGAATCGGCTACGACATACCTATGATGATCGGTCTCTGCATCATGTTCCTGTCAACCAGCGTGTTTGCGTGCGGCAAGAGCTACAGCGTGTTGTTCTTCGCGAGGAGTCTGCAAGGTGTCGGTTCCGCATTCGCCGATACCTCCGGCCTTGCCATGATCGCTGATCGTTTCACCGAGGAGTCGGAACGTTCGAAAGCGCTCGGCATCGCCTTGGCGTTTATCAGTTTCGGCTGCTTGGTCGCGCCGCCATTTGGCGGCGCCCTGTATCAGTTTGCCGGCAAGGAGGTGCCGTTTCTGATACTAGCATTCGTCAGTTTAGCGGACGGTTTCATGCTGCTGCTGGTGATGAAGCCGATCAAGGAACAGTTACGCGAGTCACGCAATCACGAGCCCAAGTCGACGATACCGATCTGGCGATTGCTAATGGACCCGTACATCGCTGTATGTGCGGGTGCTCTGATGATGTCCAACGTCGCGCTGGCCTTTCTCGAGCCAACCATCTCGCTATGGATGGAAGACACGATGACTCACGACAACTGGAAGATCGGTATGGTATGGCTGCCGGCTTTCTTCCCTCACGTAGTCGGTGTAATAATCACCGTGAAGATGGCCAAGCAATATCCGCAGTATCAATGGCTGATGGCGGCCGGCGGACTCGCGCTCGAGGGCCTCTGCTGCTTCATTATACCATTCTCCAATTCGTATAAGGTGCTGATGATACCTCTGTGCGGCATTTGCTTCGGCATCGCGCTCATCGACACCGCTCTGCTGCCTACTCTAGGCTACTTGGTGGACGTCAGATATGTATCGGTCTACGGCAGCATCTACGCGATTGCAGACATCTCGTATAGCGTGGCGTACGCGGTGGGCCCGATCATAGCTGGCGGTGTGGTCGAGGCAATCGGTTTCACCGCGCTCAACATTGGCATCGCCTTCTCAAATCTTCTCTACGCGCCAGTGCTCTATTACCTGCGGCACATCTACGATTTCAAGCCGTTCCAGGATGAAGCAAACGTACTGATGCAGGATCCACCCGATAAGGAATACCAGACATACGTGTTGCAGGAGCAGCGGCCGATCACCGGCGAGATAGGTAACCACCTGAATCAGACACGCATGGAGACGAATATCGACCAAGGTTACGATCAGAACTATCAGACGCCCATGCAGGCAAGTTATGGCGGCTACGGCGCGCAAAACGCGAACATTGGCTACACTCAATCCGCGCACGAACAACCGCCGGTCTACAATCAACCGCCGGCAGGCTACGGTCAACCTGGCGACTACGGCCAGCAGAGGAATTACGTGGCCGACCAGGAGCAACCAGGCCAGGGTGGCCAGGTTGACGTGAATCCCTTCAGGAGACAGACGGACCAACGACCGGCCGGAGACAGCAATCCCTTTAGACAAGGAATGTATTAAGAGCGATGGCCGCCGCTACCGGTGTCGTCAACGATCGCTCGAAGGTGTGCGTTCGAGAGTCTTCGAGACAGGCTTCCACAACTTAACGGCAGAGAAATGACGTCGTAGGGCAGCTCGGCGAGATCCTCCTCAGGAGCGACGGCGATCGGGACGCTCGATCAGCCTGCGGGGGATCGCTGATCGCGCTCGCCGGATTTCGATCGTGCTCGAGGTTATCATCGGTGCTTTGTCGGGAATGATGAGAGGCAACGACTTCCAGAGTGATTTCCTCGGATTCTCGCGGAAGGTCATCCTCATGGTGAATCCTGACGGTCCTGGGATCCATGTGTAGTATCGGCAATAGGAATTACGAGTATGAAGGGAAGAAAAATAGAGAGAAACGTTGCTGAAAAATATGCAGGATAAGTCGTTGAAAGACTGAGAGACGACGATTGGTACAGAAAAGATTCGCCGGAAGCGAGAATAAGGATCTCGAGGGAGGACGAGTAATCGCAACATCGAAATAAAATAAAACAAAGAGTGAGAGGGAAGAGTAATGTATCGGTGCTATGGAGAGAAGAAAAAGTAGCATCCTACATCTAGGATGCGAGTCGTTGCGTAAAGTGTAAGGGGAGAGAAAGAGAAAGAGAGGATTCACGGCCGCGACGAAGGCTTCCTATCAGCAAGGACCTTCGCTCGCGGATTGCCGCCGGGCAAGTTTTGAATTTTTATCGTTTTTCGTTGAAAATCGTTCTGCTTGCTGAACGGAAATATCATATCATTAATTAAGGCGTCAGAGAAATCTAGGAAGTAAGGCTTTAAGTTAGGTAGCCGATCATATAGAGGAGGGTTGTGACGAGGATGATCGAAGCTCGCGTTCCGCGAATCGCTCTTTATTGACAAAGTACTTGTCTCTCTGCTTCGATCTTTTCAAAGTTTTATTACAAGAAAAATTTAGGAGTGAAACTTGGATTGCTTGCGATCATCCGAGGCTTTCACATTCTAAAACCGTTATTTGTTACGCGTTTATTGTTAATAAGATTCTTTTCTACAACTGGAATAATCATTATAAATTATTATTAATAAAGATAACACGTGAAGTCTATTAAACATTTTTAATTCAATGTTTGAAATTGTTTTACACTCCTTTATCTATTTTCTTGTCTTCGAAAAGGAGGAAAACTTCTCTTTTTACAATTTTAATGAAATAAATATATGTGTTTTTCTCAATTACTCGATAACACTTGAATAATTTTCTAATACTCACATATATACACACAATAATTTAAAAAGATATTGTTCTAAATGATTGATTTTTGCTTTAATCCTTTAAGTTTTTCTCACACTAATCGAGTACTTTGCCGCAATAACGGAGCAATAGCAGTACCAAAGCGCGAGCGCGTCAAAGTATAAACATATCTGTATTTTTATGAGATTACTTTTCTAATTATAGAGATATTTCGTTCGAACCGGATTTGGTTCATGCGGGAAATCGCGCGATATCTAGACGTAGACATGCATTTCTATATGTATATAAATATATCAAACTTTATCATGTGTCAGAGTGACTCGGCTGTAAGATTTCGCAGCAATTATCGCGAGACATCATTGCATGAGGAGAATATTTTTTAATTATTTCAAATATTTAATCAAATTTTTTAATATCAAATATTTAAAATTTGCTTCGCTTAAAACAACAATTTTGTTTCAACTTACACAGAAAAAAAAATAAATGTGTAATCAAAACTTGTATACTTAAACTAATGCGTTCATTGTTTCGTATATACGCAACAATTTATAATCTCTTTAGAAGAATTTAATAATTTTAAATTTCAACAATATTATAATCTTATTTTAATATTGTAATTGTCACCTCAAGAATATATAATTATTTAATTCTACTTTAAGAAAATTATAATCTTTGATTTAAAAATGTTATTTTTTATCTAACATTGTTTCTTTTCCATTCAAGAAAATTAAATCTTAAATCATAAGAATACATTTTTCTTGATTGAACTATATAAAATGGCTTCATTCAAGTAAGCAATTATTCAAGCAATTATATTTTTCTTTAATTAACGCAATATAATCTCATTTCAAGATTTCCATGTTAAAACTAAATATATTTTCAAAACAGAATGTTCTTTTTTTCTGTGTATCTATGTGTTTCCTTTTCTTGTAGGAATTTTTATTGAAACATTTATAAAGACGACAAGCACACTTGTGTTTCTCGTAGCTTTCGATATCTGTCAAATCTTACGACCGAGTGCACGGCACACATCCGTACCTACTCGTCAATACTAAGAAGCGTTGGGAAAAGTGAATAAATAAATAAGTAATTAATTAACTAACGCCGTTACATTGATCATCGCCGGCGAGAAGGGCGCGTAAAAAAAGGAGAGGGGGTTCCTCGAACTTCAGGGAATCCGTTTCGCTCGCTTCGATCTTGGACCTCAGGATTACACGCCCGTCGTCGCGAGGATCCTCGAGGGTCGATTTCCGCGGGTGCTTTGAGTTAACAGTGCCTGAACTTTGCAGTTTTTACCCCCGTCGTGCGTCGCGAGAGATTACTAGTACGAATAACCGTTAACAAAAGTTCTCCCCGTAAAAGATCCAAGCAAGTGTGTAACCCGACCTAACGTAACGTAGACTCTCTATTAGACACTCGCTATACATATGTACCTAAACGTAGGCTATACGTTTTTGTTTTATGGCTGAGGAAGAGAGTAAAAAGCATTTTATCTCCGCAATGGCATTTCGTTTCTATGAGCTGGCCTCTAAAGTTAAGCATTTTATCGTAACGCGGCAACGTATGGCTCGCCGATAATTATCATCGCGATTCCGCTAGTAAATTGAGCGAAAACTAACGCAATAATACCCCTTGAAATGATTAAAAAACTCTGTGATTTACCTACTACAAGTTTTTTTAATTAAACTAATTAAATATATTTTTAATTGCAAATGCATTTAATTATTTTTCTATATTTTTACAGAAAATGTCCCTTTCGTTATTTTAAAATATATAATCGTATATTACACAAAGCTCATGCTTTTTTCGCTTCGATAATCAAGTAAAACCGAGTTATTCCCTGTCAAAGAACTTGCGATAATTATCGACAAGACATTGCATCGGTTGCATTACGGTTATACATACACATATTACACGTATATCATATAAAGAATTATTCGTAGCTTCTTCTGTCTCTTGTAAATACATGTTATGCGCGAAAGAGAGAAAAAGAGAAGCCTCTTTCCTTCGTGCGGATGCGTTGCATATTGGACGTCCTAGAACTATTGTCATTTCTTTCAATTTACATATTCTTTGATCGATATTTTCATAATATAATAAAAGCTCAAACTTTAATTAAAACAAGATCCATTTAAAATTTGACAAAAAAGAAAACTTTTATTTTATTTATCTACACACACATATCTAGGAAATTTGTTGCATTTTTTATGATACTCGAGTATTTTCGAAGCTTTAACAATGAAATAAGCATTGTTTCTATTGTTTTTCAGCTCTTAATATTTGTGGTCTTCGATAGTTCTGTGACATCCAATGCATATCTTGCCTACTTGTATCATATCGTTTATGAATGTTGTGAAAGCGATGATGTATGTGCGAATAAAATCCTTTTTCTTCTGCGTCGGGGGACTAAAGGCCAGTGATGGGCACAGCTATTATTGTCCTGACATTCGTCTACGTAGAATCTGTGTGAGGACCTTAAAAGCAAAGTGAAGAAAACTTCTCTTAGAACGAGATTAGTTTCTTTTTGAATAAAATAGAAGAGACGCGCGTGCATTTTTCGCGATTTCCAAAAAAATATGGTAACATAAATGATTTTTCTAAAAATGTAACAAGTACATTTAGAATTGCTTTTACGACTTATAATTTAAAAAGAAAATTCTTTCGGATCTAAGAATTATCTCTCTCTCTCTTTCAAGAAGAGGAGCATCGGTGATCGGTTATTTTGCTTTTGAAATCCTCACTTACTGAACAATACAAGAGACTCGCTGTTGTCAGAAATTTTGTTAAGTTTCGATGATTATAAGATGGTACTATTTGTTGTAATTACTAAGAGTGAGAGGGAAAATGGCGAGAATTTCTCTTTCTTCTTGTGTACAGAGAAATTTCTAAATCATGTACCGATAATCTGTAGATAATTACCGGATAATTCGCGGATAAATCGTTGCTTCTTCTCTACTTGATAAAAGTATCAAACTTCATTTAAAATTTGAACTTTTTCAAATATATATTAGATACCTACGTAAAAGATTATCGTTGAAAAGGAGTTTCTTTGATGAAGCAAGATAAACCAAGTGCATTCCCTATATTGAAATCTCGCTCTGTTGGGAATGGTGTTTAAAATGCAAACGTGAACGCTAGTTTCTCAACAATATTTTTCTCACCTCAAAACCGAGTCTAATTCCCAAGTGTTGCGAGAAAGGGGACGGCGACGGAGTGCCGGAGATCGACGATCTCCAGTTTATCATATTACGACATTGTGCGCAATACGCGAACACATATCATAAGAGAGAAAGAGAGAGAGAAAGAGAGAGAACGGAGGGAAAACATGGCCACCGGGATTATATATCTAATTATCCGTGCATAATGCATATTATCCGTGCGCGATAAAGGAGTCGGTCGTGCATCTCGAGATTATCCGTAAACATAGCGTAACTTAATTGCAATACGTCCGCACTTTGCGCGTATATATACACATACAAACACACACATAAACGATACACACACTCGCGAGACTATATACGTATACCATTAAAGACACACACATACACATGTATGTATGTATATTTAATTGATGATGAAAAACCAAGTAATTCGAAATGCGTATGTAATTGAAATCCTATGACACTGTAATGTTGTTGAACCGGTTATTAAAGATGTCATTGTTACCGAAGAATATCATGTGTTGCACTTTATGTTACATCGATGGCCTTTATCATGATTTCTTAAATCGATAATTGAATATCCAATTGATAAGACCTTTCGAAATTATTTCTTATCATTTTGATTGAAAAGTTAATTTTCTTTCACGCAATATTTACAGACAATTATTACTGTTTTATATCAAAGCGTCAATAATGATAAAAAATAATATTAAAAAATAAAAATAATATTAAAATAAAATATAGATCGCATTATATTATGCTTTCTTACAGAGGATTTATTAATAATCAAATTTAATTCATTTCGCCGAAAGTCGATCATTGGAAGAAAAGTCTAGTGCATTCGCCACGAATTGATCATAAATCATTCTCACATTTATATCAAAATGATACAACTGTTCATCTTTTTCTCGCGATACGTTCAAGAAAAAAGAAGAGAGAAGGAGGGGAAGAAACCAATACCCCAAGACGAATTATACCGGTATCATATCGCGGGATGCTGCAAAGGATCATGAACTTTGATCGACAAGTGACGAGAGATGGGCGAGGAAAGGGCTGTAAGCCCTTAAGAACGTTGTCGCGCGGCACGCGCCGCGCGGAATTCGGGCCTAATGAAAAAGCGAGCGCGGAGAAGCGAAGCGAGAGGAACGAGGCATTCACGGGATGTCTGCGGGGCCCTAGTGTCACCCTAACCCCATCAAAGTGTAATAATATTTATATTAGGGCGCAGCCCCGACAGAGGGTAGGACGAGCCCCAGAGATGCTCCGGAAAGGGCGTCCGTCTCTCTCCCCCTTCTGTCTCCTGGTAACGACCGGCCCGCGGCTCGTTCCGCAGATATCGATCGCGGCCTCGTAACGAGTACGCCGCATCGATAACGCCACCATTCTCCACCGTATCGATTAATCAGACGAAATACGCGGGGTACACGAGGACGCGTGGATTTCGCGATCACGTATATAAAGCTTAGAGATTAAAGCGCGATTATGTCAATTTGAATTTTGTCAACGTTATCTGGAGTGAGTTTTGTTCCATAGTTTGAACAAAATGTTGAATTTCGTGGACAGAGTTTATTTTTCATTTTTACTAAAAAATTTCGTTCACCTTTCGTTACACCTTTCGATAAGAAGCATATTTGACATATTATATATTTTTCTTGTCAAATATTGAATTTTCTC